CACTGTAGCTCAGCGGGTTATATGCCCTGGCCTGAAGTGCGGACGCTGGTTCGAGACCCAGCTGCTCAACTTCTGATCCAGCTCTCTGCTATGGCCTGGGAAAGCAGTAGAAGATGGCCCAAGTCCTTGGGCCCCTGCACCCATGTGGGAGACCTGGAAGAAGCTCCTGGCTCCTGGCTTCAAATTGGCATAGCTCCTGCTGTTGTGGCCAATTGAGAAGTGAACCAGTAGATGCAAGACATCTCTCTCTAGCTCTTTGCTTCTCCTCTCTCTGTGTAACTCTCAAATAAATAAATAAATCTTTAAAAAGAAACCCACAGGAATCAATTATTTTTACGAAAATTTCAGTGACAAGTTCACTACTTTAAATAAACACCTTAAAGATCAGTTAGGATAAAAGTCAAAATCTTTCAATGGGCTTAATTCCTTCTCTGAAATCATAGTTTCATCTATGCTGTTTTCTGTGACTTTTGGAATATACTAGCTCTTCTTACACTTCAAGGCCTTTGAACCTCCTATTTCTTACAGTTGGAGTGGTCTTTCCTCAGCTATGGCTCTGACTCACTTCCTCACTGCCTTCATTGAAATGTAACCAATTCAGTGAAATCAATTTCAAGGCCCATTTAGAAATGAGATCCAGCCATAATCCTTCACATTTCCACACTTTCTCGTTCTATGCTTGGTTGACTTTTTGAATAGTACTCATCATAGATGATAGGTAGATACTAGAAAGATGGAGTTGATAGATACAGATATAAGTAGACAGATGATAGATACACAGATAAACAGACAGACATGCACTTATATGCACCTAACCCACACCCAGATATAAATAAGCACCAAAGAGATAGAGATTTTTGGCAATTCTGTTCATTATAAAGTCCTCAGCATTTAATACAGCACTCAACAAAAGGCTGCAATGAATATTTTAGGAAAATAATTATAATTTGCTTCTTTTGTGTAGAGTTCATGTTTCATTTTCAATGTGATGATGCAAGGGAGCTTCAAAAATTCATGGCAAATATGTATTATGAGGAACTTAGACATGATTTTCAAATACTTTGGTAAAAAAATAAGTTCATTTCTAAATTATTTTTTCTTTAAAATTTTTAAAGTGCCTTCATAATTAGAAAATCACAAACATTATTGGAAGTCCCTTCTACTAACTCAGATCTACTAAAGCAGGTTGTTCTCTAATACATAAGTTGGAAATGCAGAGGAGTAGACATTTTCTCTTCCATCACAAGATTTATGACCAAGTATAACACATGTCAGATTAACAAGGAGTAACACGTAACTTTATTTAAGTTTGATATGACATGGAGCCATCATAAATGAAGACCCAAAGACACTTAAAATCTCTTGGTTTTTATGGGTAGTCATGCAGAAATAATATTGGAAGACTAAAGGATATGACTTAATGGTAACAAATTGAGGAAGGCAGACATGTGACCCAGGAGTTGAGAAGATGCTTAGAATGACCCATCCCATATCCAACTGCCTGGGGTCCATAGCAGCCTTTGACTCCACTTCCAGCTTCCTGCTGATGTGGACACTGGAAGGCAGTGGTGATGGTTTAAGTACTTGGGTTCCTGCCATCCATGTAGGAGAACCATATTGATTTCTGGTGTCTTGGCTTTGGTCTGGCGCTGCCACAGCCATTACAGGCATTTGGAGGGTAAACCAACTAATGAATGATCTCTGTCTCACTCTGTCTCTGCCTTTCAACTAAAGAATTACATTTAAAATACAACAAATCAAAAACAAAAAAATAATTAAGGAGGGATTATCATATCCTGTTTATTCAGATTATTCTTTGCATCTCTGTGTCTTTGTTCCTTTATTCTAGGGATAGGAAGAGTCCATGAGGGATTAAAGACCCATTGTAGAGGAACACTGGAAAATTCTTTTCTGAAAATTCATTTCTACTGGGGAGAATGATGGGAGAAGGTCAGAGAGCTTTCTGCTTCTGGCAGTTCCTCAATTGTCAGTGTGAGTATTTGTGGCAGCTCTCCTGAACCCCATCAGCATATACATTATCATCCTGATTCTTGACTGTGTTGGCATTCAGTTCCATTATTCCTTTCTCCAGTTCTATCTTTTGCCAAAGATCTGGACTTAGCTGGGAATATACTACTGTCACATGTACAGTCTTCCCCTCTTGTTCTCACTTCACTGAGCACTTGGAGTAGTAAGATCGCCAGAGATGTAAGGGGTTGATAGGGTAGAGAAAGTGGTGCAAGTCATGGCAACTGGGTTCATGTGGAGTGTGAAGATTTGATAAGGGTGAGACATCTTATACAGGAATCAGCTCTGCTCACATCAGTAAATTAAGATTGTAAAGATGGAACATTATTGTCCCTGTTCTGCCGAATGTCAACCCCACTTGTTAATATGCAATCTCTCTACAATTTATATGAGGACTCTGCAAAATTGATTCAGAGGAACCTCCTTATGATCTGAGCACGACTGTCAAATGTGTCTCTAGAGTATTTTTTTGCTGGCAGCATCTGCTGCTTTTTGAAGACTTAATGGCTTGAACACAGCCTCCTCTTTTCCTTTCCATTAGTATCATTCACATTTTGAGCAATTAAGTTTCTTGTGATGCCTCTCACAGATGAGTTATGAAGTGATGATGAGCTATGAAGTGATCAATTCAGAGACAGACATTGGAGAGGGGCAAATGCTTGAGAATAAGGAAGATTTATCTCTAGAAATACATCTTATCTACTGTTTCCTATCATTTTTCTCTGCAGAGTGGCAAGATAAGTTTTCACAGCCAAACTGTGAATAAAGATTATTACCCATAAGAACAATACAAGCACAGTTTTATTATAATGCCATATTCATTTATTTTCCATTTGGTTTTTGCAAAATAATATAATAAAGTTGGAGAGTGTCTAGTTCAAGAAAATAGAGATGGCAAAAGAAATTCGTACATTTGGTTATCTGAAAAAAACACAATTTTTATTTTTAAATATAACAATTTTATTGGAGAGTAGAGAGAAAACTAGTGCTAAGAAATTTCTTAAGCAAATTTTACAGATGAATGCTATAGGATTATCTAATTTATCTGAATGGAGGGAGGTGGAGGGATGCTGCTATAAATTAAAAGGAAATACTATTACAATTAGATAATAAGTCATATGACATAAATCATATATCTGGGCTTTCTGTTAGGTTTAACAAATATCTGACAAATATATCTAAAACTCACTAATTAGAAAACAAAGAAGTATATCTGGGTATATAATGTAAAGACTCCAGAAATAATAAATCTATTTTGTAATCCATAGCCTGAGTCAGAAATACTACCTTCTACATGTACATTACATTGTAGTTCAGGGTTCTCTGCATAGGGAGAATTATAATTTAGGGATGTTCCATGTATATCTAAGATGCCATATGTATGTAATATCAGTATAATATAACCACAAAGAAAACAGGCAGAGCTAAAAGGAAAATGAAAATTGCTTAAAAAGTCTTAAAAGAAAAAATACTATGATTTGATCCTTGGATTTAAATGTTAGAAACACATTAATTTATGGAACATAAGTTTTGGAACTAGAGAGAAAATGAACTAAAGGAAGCTCTGTAGGAAGGAAGAATGGCATAAGGAGAGGGCGCATGAAGATGTTCTGGTTCAGTTCAGGGGAGAAAGTATCTGTGAGATGTGGTAAGCAGAATCCGATAGCTGTCGAAGAGGAACACAGCCAAAACTTCACACTGGTTGAGAATGGAGTCTGTGGGATAAGAAAACGAGAATCTTCTTTTAGCAATGCTAGAGCTCCTCTATGTTCCCATGGTCCTTTCAGCCTGACTACCCCCAGGAACTCACCTGAATCAGGAGGCATCCCTTTTCCAACAGACCCTGGAAAAGTCAAATTCAGTGAAGAAAAAAATGGAAAATCTACTTTGGAAATACAAGGTATCAGGCCCGGCGCAGTGGCTCACTTGGTTAATTCTCCGCCTGCTGCAACGGCATCGCATATAGGTCCCAAGTTCTAGTCCCAGTTGGGGCGCCAGTTCTGTCCCGGTTGCTCCTCTTCCAGTCCAGCTCTCTGCTGTGGCCCAAAAAGGCAGTGGAGGATGGCCCAAGTGCTTGGGCCCTGCACCAGCATGGGAGACCAGGAGGAAGCACCTGGCTCCTGGCTTCGGATCAACGCAGCACCGGCCGTAGTGGCCATTTGTGGGGGTGAACCAACTGAAGGAAGACCTTTCTCTCTGTTTCTCTCTCTCACAGTCTAACTCTGTCTGTCAAATAAAAAATTAATATTCAAACTCAAAAAAAAGGAAATACAAGGTGTAATTAATCATTGGAAAATTACTATTCCCTACTTCAGCTTAAATTAATTTATTTCAAATTTGAGATAAATTTGTAAAAAATATATACAGTCAAATAAGCAGAATGATTTTAATTAAAAATTAAGAAAAAGGAAATTGCAAATATGTGAAATAATTCATTGAAATAACGCATATTACACCAATAATTGTGTTTATCTATATGAAAGGGAAGTGAATGAGTTCTATATTAAAAGAAAAACATAGACAAATTGAGTAGTTTGATTGTTAAAGGATTAATGAATGATGCAGCATACAAAACCTGCAGAGGAATGAGGACCTCTATTCCACATTATTGGTAGTAAGTTTTTGTAGTCTAAATAGAATAGAGAAACAGCTTGATTAGTTATCACTAGGTATTTGTCTTATTTAGACTAATAGCATGATCATTGGCTGCCTGTGTGTGAAGCCTGTAATCATCCAATACTCCGCTCTCTTTTTTTTTTTTTTTAAGCACTTCTAAGTTAGACTTTGGTTTGTTAGCTTCCTAAATTAGGTTGCAGTCCAATATGTAGAATGTCAAAGCACTGGGCACTCTGTCCAATGGCAGTGTTCAGAAGCTTGGAGCTTGGTAACACTCCCTGTCATCATCATAATGGACTCATTTGGTCACAAGTCCTGAGGTTAGGTCAGTTGCATGACTCCTGTTTTTTCCATTCTAGTCAAAGTGAGACTAAAGTACACTGGATGGTGGCACACAAATCTTTAAGACTCTTGAGGGGACAGAGTTGACCAGAGAGATGACTGTGATGATTAGCAGGAAGGTGATTCCAGGAGATTACAGTGCAATCCTTCACAAGAACGCAACAGAGCTCAACTGATCAAATTGAAAAAAATCAAATCTCCGGCTATGTAAGTAGTTCAACAGTATTTGAGTCTGGTTGGTCACAATCTTTAGGAATTTGTGGTGATTAAGGATTATTATCCACTGTAGAATGATCTGATTTGCCTAGGAATCTTTTCTTAAATTGTTTGTTTGAAAGGCAGAGAGAAAGACACACACAGAGAAATCTTCCATCTGGTGGTTTACTCCCCAAATTTCCACAACAGCCAGGGCTAATTCTGGAACTCGATCCAGTGGCCGGGACTCAACCACTTGAGCCATCACCTACTTCCTTCGGGGTCTGCATAGGGAGAAGTTGGGGTCAGAAACAGAGCTAGGATTGCAGCCCAGTCACTGTGAAATAGAATGCAGAGAACCCAAGAAGCATCTTAACAGCTGCACCAAATGCCCAGCCAAAGAGGCAACCGTGTTTGTCATCAGCTTGGAAACACAAGCATAGTGACCTAGACACCTACTTGAGGAAGCCTTAAGCTTAGAAAACTTGGGAGCAAGTTAGCCACCACTTAGAATGCCTTCAAACTGTCATCTAGTATCACAAATACATTGTGTACTCCTTTTCCAAAAAGAATTTCTTCAATGCATTTGTTGGCAATGCCTAAAGAAAAAGTGGTATTACCACCTTTTGAATTAAACTTTAAACAATAGCATAATAAGTGGAAAGATACGTGCATTTAGATTTGTTCAGTGCCATATGCAAGTCCCTAGGAAATCTAAAGATGCCTGATAATATTCAGTAACTACTTTTGTTGAACACATATGCTGTCATACACCTTCTGGAGGGTGACTTCTACCTATACAAAACCCTAGGAATTCCAGTTAGTCAAAAAGTCTGACTTTCTCTCAATTTATGCATTAGTTTCAAATTCCACACAGTTGGCACCTCATTACCACCAAGAGTGAGCCTTCATTTGGAGTTTTTCTCCAGCTGACATTAGCTTATTTTTATCTGTTTCAGGGTTAATGCTAATTTCTACTGATGGTCATTTTGGCTTCTATTTATAGCAAGTATTGTATAGACCAATAGGAGAAGCGATTCAGAAGGCAGGAGGGAATCAAGCTAGAAAATAAGATCCAAACTAGTGGGGAGGCAGAACAAAGCAGGCAAACTCTCCTCAGATCCAATATGGATCCTCAGGGAATGGAATAGAGGGCTACATAATAGCATTTGAGCTTAGATCAGTTAAATCTGTCAGCCTATTTCTCAGCACACTTCTTGAAACAAGGTCTGGGAAGAAATTGGCTTTTCTGTGGCAGGCTGTAAGGGTGTATAACCACATTTTGTGAAAAGGGACCATGCAGAATTAACCCAGTTATATTATACAAGCAATTACTTGACCCCACATAGATAGCCCCCAGGTTTTGGGTTCATGATACTGGGAAGCATAATAAACTTTCCACAAGCATCATCCAGATAGGATTTGGTTAGAGTTTTGTTATCAGCTTAAAAGGTAGGGATATGACTTTCACTGAGTGTAAGAAAGTAAGTGACAGGATTGTGACAGCAAGAAACAAAGAACAATGATAAGTTTTTATGATGGCAGAGAAGGGAAGACTTGGTTGTTGATCTTTGGAACGTTGTACACATCCATGATTCCATCTACTTCTGGGAAAGACTTACCTGGTCAGCTGCACCTTATGACTTCAACAGCGTACATTTTCAAGAGTCCAGATCTGCTTTCTTGAGATGTATGTGATCAAGTTCCCAAGTATTGAAGTTTTAATGAGGTAGGGTTGGTAAGAAACTTTTTATCAGAATTTATAAGACTGAAAAATATGAATGCTTAAAAAGTTCATGGAAAATCAAATTAAATGATGGTTTTAAAAAGAATTGTTTTATTTACTTGAAAAAGAGAGAGAATAAAAGAGAGAGAGAACGAGAGAGAAATCATCTTGGTTCACTCCCCAAATAGCTGCAATGGCGAGGGCTGGGGCAGGCTGAAGCCAAGAACTGTGTAACATGATAATATGTTCTTAGTCCATAAGCCTTCCAGTAACTGTTTCATAAGGAGTAAATCTATATTTCCCAATGGGAGTGGATCTAATTGCCATCGGGGCCTATAGGAATACCTTTGGCCAAACCAATACAATCAATTCAATTAACTTTTTCAATTTTTAAATGCCATTTGTCCATTTGACCTTTACAGAAGAGTGAGAGTAACCGGGATAATGATAATGTCATTATGTTTGTAACACCTTACCTAACTGCTTTATAACTTGTCCATAAAATAGCTTGCCTATCAGTGAATATTTCTCCAGCAATGTCCCATAAATGAAATACCTTTGTTATTAATTTGGTAACCATTGTCCTAGCACAAGTTTTCCAGTTGGAGAACCTACAAACTATTAAAAGACTGTGTTAAAACCCATTGAAGATGAAAATTGAATGAAACCCATCTGTAAATGCTCAAATCATAGATCATGTAGCAAAAATATACCATCTGCAGTTCCAATTATCTTGCTAGAATTATATGTTTGACAAACAAAACGTTAATTATAACCATTTTTATCAATTTTACAAGTGTCACTAAACCAGTTATTTGTATCACTTTGTCCCGTGATGAATTATGGAAAGTAAGCCCTTTAATTTTTAAGCATTTTATCAAAGTACAATATACATCCCAAGAAATGCACGTGAGTGTACAAATGAATGAGGTTTTTGCCATCCAATCACACTCATATCCAGCACTCAAACTAAGAAAGGGTTAATGATACCTCAAGAATTCTAACTATTCTCCACATTTCTATTTTTTTGAACATGTGAAAGTGTATCATCATGTATGTGGTATGATTCAGTGAAACACAATTTATAACTATATTTCAAATTATATGACATCCACATAGTATTTATACTCTCTATATTCACTATTAAAAACAAGAATGCATGTGGTATTTTTCTTTTAGGGTAAGACTTATTTCACTTAGAATAATGGTCTCCAGTTGCATCCATTTCACTTTAAATGTCAGGATTTCATTCTTTTACAGCTGAGTAGCATTCCATCATGTATATATACCACATTTTCTTTACCCAATTAGATGGACATCTAAGTTGATTCCGTATCTTAGCTATTGTGAATCGAGCTGCAATAAACATGGGATTTCAGGTCACTCTTCAATATGCTGCTTCCATTTTCTTTGGATATATTTCCAAGAGTGTGTTGGCTGGGTCATATGGTAGATCTGGTGTTTTTTTCTTTTTTTTTTCAGTTTTAGAAGGGATCACCATACTATTTCTTTCTTTCTTTCTTTCTTTCTTTCTTTCTTTCTTTCTTTCTTTCTTTCTTTCTTTCTTTCTTTTTTTTTTTTTTTTTTTTTTTACAGGCAGAGTGGACAGTGAGAGAGAGAGACAGAGAGAAAGGTCTTCCTTTGCCGTTGGTTCACCCTCCAATGGCCGCCGCGGCCCGTGCACTGTGCTGATCCGACAGCAGGAGCCAGGTGCTTCTGGTCTCCCATGGGGTGCAGGGCCCAAGCACCTGGGCCATCCTCCACTGCACTCCCGGGCCACAGCAGAGAGCTGGCCTGGAAGAGGGGCAACCGGGACAGAATCTGGTGCCCCGACTGGGACTAGAACCGGTGTGCCGATGCTGCAAGGTGGAGGATTAGCCTAGTGAGCCGCAGCGCCGGCCACCATACTATTCTTACATAATAATTGTACTAGCTATTTTCCACTAGCAGTGCATTAGGGTACCTTGTTTACTACATCCTTGCCAGCAATTGTTATTAATTTTTTTTTTTTGATGACAACCCTTCTTACTAAGGTGAGGTGTGGTTTATATTTGCATTTCCCTGATGGCTAGTGATCCTCAGCATTTTTTCATGTGTCTGTTGGCCCTTTGGATTTCCTCCTTTGAAAAATGACTGTTCGTATCTTTTTCCCATTTATTGACTTGATTGCTTTTTGTTGTTGTTGAGTTCCTTGAGGTTCTTGTGTAGTTTGGATATTAACCCTTTATTGAATGTTTGTGAATATTGTCTTTCTATCTGTTACTTCTTCACTTTGTTGCTTGTTTCCTTTCCTATGCAGAATCTTCTTAGCTTGATGTAATCCCAGTTATCTATTGTTACTTTTATTGCCTCCGTTTCTGGTGTTTTATCCAAGAAGGCTTTGCCTACACCAGTGTCTTAGAGCATTTTTCCTATGCTTCCCTCCAGTAATTTAGTGGTTTTAGGTCTCAGGTTTAGATCCTAGATTCATTGTGAATTGATTCTTGTATAGGCTATAAAGTATGGGTCTTGTTTCATGCTTTTGTGTGTGGAAGTTCATCATTTCATAACACTTGTTGAAGAGACTGTCCTTTCTCCAGAGAATGATTTTAGCTCATTTATTAAAGATTAGTTGGTTGTGGTAGGTTATTTTCTGGGGTTTCTACTCTGTTGCATTGGTTTAAATGTCTAATTTGTGCCAGAACCAGGCTGTTTTGATTATAACAGCCCTATAGTATGCTTTAAAATTTGGTATTGTGATGCCTTTGGCTTTGTTTAAATTTTTTAGAATTGCTTTTGTTTTCCAGGGTGTTTTCTGTTTCCATATGAACATTAGTATTTTTTTCTAGATATTTGAAGAATTTCCTTTGTGTTTTGATTGGAACCACATTGAATCTGCAAATTGCTTTGGGTAGTGTGGACATTTTGATAAAGCTGATTCTTACAATCCATGATCATGGAAAATGTTTCTATTTTGTTGTGTCTCTTTTATAAGTTTCATTAACATTTTGTAATCTCAGTTGTGGAGAGCTTTCACATCCTTTGCTAAATTGATCCCAAGGTATTTAATTGCTTTTAATGACTGTGAATGAGACTGAACTTGGAACTTCTTTGTCCACCAGAGCACTGTAAGTGTATAAGAATGTTACTGATTTTTGTAAGTTGATTTTATATCCTAAAATTTTATCACATTTTGTTTATGAATTCTAATAGTGGAGTTTTTGACTCCTCAAATAAAGAATTATGTTATCTGAAAATAGGAATATTTTTGTCACCTTTTTTCTAATTTGTATGCCTTTGATTATTTTTCTGACTAATGGATCTGACTAAAACTTCCAGAATTATATTGAATGATAGTGATGCAAAAGGGCACCACATATGGATTTCATTTGTGATTGCCTGTCATCACATTTCAGTACCAGCTTTACTAAACATGAAATTTACCACAGAATTTTCTGGGTATTCAGTTAGTTCATGTTTTGCTTGATAATGGTTTTGTAAGTCAGTCAGTTTAGTCATTAGAGTTTTGGAATCCTTAGTGCCATGGTTTGATCTTAAAGTTATCAGAAACCTATACTTATGAGAATTCTTTCCTTGAGTCTTTCATAAGATGAAACACTTTTGGTTATAATTGCTTGCAATAGCTTTCATGCAAGTATCAGAGTAAAATAATTAACTGTCTATGGATGACAAGACTTAAAATGGCCATAATTAAAGGTTTGACGAGAGATCATTATAAGGCAATTGACAAAGAAATTTCATTATTTCTGTGACAGACAATATTTAAGATAACAACTATAATTATGACTGATGGGTTATAGTAGAACCATCAGATTTCTAGGAATTTCATGTAATATATAAAGTACATTAACAATGTATCCATACAATGTGAATTAAAGAAGTTTCAGTATTACATGTTATTTGACAATGGTTTCCATGCACTTTAACATATCAAATATGCTGAATTATTTTAATCTCCTTCTGCCTCTATTTTTATAAATCAGGGATCCATCTGCAAGCTCCCTATACCAGTTTGAGGTCAAAAGATTTAACTTATGTCTCGATTTGGGGAAGTTTATCAATATCAAAAGTTCAAAACACTTGATTAAAATGGCATCACAAATCACTTTTAAATAACACTATTCATGTAACCAAAGTGATAATCAAAAGACAGACCTTCAAAGGCTACAGAAAATTATGTAGCTCATTTTTCACTTTTGTACTTTTTTTAAAGTATACGTGTTAACACACCAAAAAAGGCTAATGATCAATTTATTTATCTTTTAGCCATTTTTACCTTATTTGTATGTTAAGTAATTAGATTTTGTAAAAAAAATAATTAAAAGATAAATTTATTTTGGTGCAAAAAATTGGAAAAATATTCATAGATTTTTCACAACATATATTTTCCAATTATTATACAACCCTGTATATGAATCCTTTTGTTTGATTTAGTTTTAAAATGTGCTTGACATACATGAATAAGTGTATTTCTTCTAACAACATTTATTCTTAGGTAGAATGTATAGTTCTGTATTTTTAAACCTCAAAAAAAGATGGCATAAACCTACATAACTAATCAACCCAGATATAAATTAAAAATTGTGTGTGTGCATATTTGATGTCCAAAATTCTGAATATAGACCTGTTCTGATTAAACAGAATTTCACTAGTTTTTATTAACTGAAGAATATCACAGATCATGTAAACTTGAAATATTTTAGTTCCGTTTCCATCATTTTAACAGTTTAAAGGATAGTTAGTTTATATATGCATATATTTTCTTTGAAGCCAACTAAATGGAGGGCTCTAATTTTAACCAATTAACTTTGGCAGTACCACCCAGAGGTGGAACAATGCCACCTACACCAGCATCCATTGTGTGTTTATAATGAGGCAGAAAACCCAAGAGCTCTTGTTTAGCACACATGCCAATGGAAACAGGGAGACAATGATTTGAGCTGTGAGGTAAAGGAATTTATCTGAGCTGGCCAAGCCAGGAGCAATGTTGTCTAGTGACCAAAACCCAGGATCTGTCCCTGTCAAAAGAAAATCCCCAAAGCTGAGTTGTTGTACTTGATTCCCAGGAAACAGTGAACACCAACCACATTGCTCTTTCATCCCCGTCATTTATATTTAGATTAAAATTATGCTTTTATGATTTTAAATATCTAACAGCTTTGATAAGCATCATTTTGCTAGGTCATCAACCCCAGACACAAATGGATGTTAATGATCATAAAAAAAAAAAAACCTTCACTTTCTTTTTACCAACAAATTTACAAATTTATTTGTCAAAGATTTACTTAAGTCACATGAACCAAAAGGCATTTGGACTAATTCAGCAATTTTAATTTATGTGAGCACTCATTGATCTGTAAGTCAATTCAAAATACAATTCTTTATGGTATTTTATCATGTAAATATTATATGTAACTAATGCAACACATATAACACACACACGTACACATCAAAACTTACCTAACTTTGTTGTTCTACATCATCCATTAATGGAAAACTAGGCCAGGCTTCCACCATTGTCTCCACCCTGCCACGTAGCAGACAGTGAAACAGAGGAGCTACCTAAGGCCGTGCAGCTGGGGCCATGATGAGAGAGGAGGGGCTATGAAGTCAGTTAAGCGCTCTTAGAACTTTCTTTTTATGATTCCATAAAAAGTACACAACTTAACACAGCACAAATCGTAGCAGATGCTAAACAAAGAACAGGCACCAAAGGTCGGAGTACAATAAAACCAGGGTCCTGGAAGGACTCAGCAAGTGTTCTCACCACCGTGAAACCCAGTCCTGCCTCAAATAGTGAGATTGGGGATTTACCCCAACAGAACCCATAGAGGGTTAGACAGGACCCACATAGGGGCATACAAAGTCAAGGAGGGAGATAAAGTGGCCTTTCGAGATTACTCACCTGGAGACATTTTTCTACTGCAAACAAAAGAGAGGGAGGGAGGGAGGGAGGGAAGGGAGGGAGAGACAGAGACTGAGACAGAGACAGAGACAGAGAGAGAAATACCACTGTACCAGAGGTGAAAGCCTTGGAGAATCACTGAGCTACATGCTTGGAGCTGCTTTATTCACAGGCTGTGTCCAGCTCTCTGACTGGGGCTGGTGTATCACTGGCAAACATTTAGGAAGGACTTCCTGTTCTGCCAGCAGTGCCATTGTGTTACCAAAGGCATTTGGTGTATTTTTTGTCTTTTGTCTTTTGGTGTATTTGTATTTGTAGGCTAGAAGACCAATCACCAAATCCAGGTTATTTTGCAGAGAGAAAGCTATTACAAGGAGATCAGGTAAGGAGTCTGATAAGGGGCCTGGGGAAAGATTTTATGGATTAGGTCGGAAGGGGCTTGTATGTAAAAATGCTGGCAAATCAAGTTCTGATTAGAGGGACTCAGAATCAATCAGGACAGTGTCGATGAAAACAAACAGGATCTGAAAAACAGTTTAATATGAGGTTTATTCAGGGTAGAACATGAGTGACCTATTCGTGGGAAACCCAAGCCCAACAACTTACAATGAGTCTTTGGAAGTATTCCAAAGTGGTCAAATTCGCATCCAAATTTCAATACACAATGTGCATACTTTGGTTTGGCTTGAAAAGTAGCTTTGTTACCAGGGGAAAATTTCTCAATGGTTAGAGATTACTTCCTTTAGGATATGATTGTCTACAAGCACTGTCAGAGACACGAGGGTTTTGTCTCTGAAAAGAGGCTGCTGACAAGAAGGGTGCTCGTTGACTTTAAGGAGGGCATTTTTAGGGATGCATGACAAGGTAGAAAAACAGAGCAAAGGAGTCATCCAGTTTGCTGCAGGTGGCTAAGACAAAACATACCTTTGTGCATGTCCCCTGTGTCAAACTGACCTGATAGTTAACAAAATAAATAAATAAAAGTGTTCCAACACTTCTCAGATAATGCTCACTAGATGTTTCTTTTGAATCCTACACAGGCAATTTAGGGACAGCTTGTTCTCACTCACACAATACTGTTGAAATCTAATACTGTTGAAACTAGAGACAACAGAGGACCCCCTCTCTCCATGCTTAATGGTAAGCTTCAGGGGCTGTCTAACATACTAATAGCCCATAATTGTCACTTGCCAATACCTATTCAAAGAACACCCCCAATCCCTTTCCTCTGCACCTGTCATGTTCTGTCACTGCTTTGTCCAGTTTGCCCCCAATCAGCCTAACTCCAAAAATTTACAAATCTCTTTCTAAATGGAGAGGTTGCTTTGGGCTTCACTGTGATCTGCCACTTCTCCTACAGACCTATAATGAGCAATGAATGTTCTCTTTCTCAGAGTTGAATGGAGAGTTCTTACACCAGTAATCGTCTGAACATGAATGGGAAGACCAGTTGAGTGTACCTGCTCTCACTGACATGCTTTCAGTAGCTGCCTGAGAAAACAGAGCTGAATGGAGAAGTCTGTTATCGCTTTTAATTCTATTTTCCACCAACTGTTTGAAATACACTTATACTTGTTACACTGTGTTGTTTAGGAAATAATTACAAAGGAAAAAATATATGTATGTATGGTCAGTAGATATGCATCTTTTTAAAAAAAATATTTTGGACCCACAGTTCCTTAAATCCAAGGACCTGGAACCCACACAGATGGTAGGCAAGCTATAAATAACATACATGCTGATATAGACATACAGAAACATACACAGACATCTATAGACGTACACACAGAGACAAAGATGCTATCACCTCCATTTTAAATTGTTAATCAGGGGCTATGTATAATAATACAAAACCTGCTAGTTTCTAGAAGAATAGTTAGATCTGAACTGTGTTTCTGGACAAAAGAAAAAAAATAACCTTTCTAGGTTAAAAGCAAGCTCCCAAACAATGCCTTGAATGAAAAACCTCAGGCCCCAGTCTCCCAGCCAATCTCTCTTAGCTTAACTCACTGAATCGAGAGAGTGGTGGAGATGGCTCTACAGGATTCTAATCGCTGGACTCATGAGATAATAGATGACACTTGTGGACAGCATTGTCTTGAACAATGTTCTATAGGAGAATTCTGGGTGCAAGACAGAAAGCCCTGAGACCCACTTTGCCATTATCAAAATCTCTGAAGAGTATGACATTGCTGACCACTGAGGAACTTGGACCTGAGCTGACCTTGTAACTGGACTGGATAAGCACTGCAGCTCCAACTAGCCCCTTATCACCTGGCCAGCGGCCAACATGCTGCTGCGTCTGTCCTTTGTTCCCTTATTCCTGAATTCTGCTTCCCTGTGGCCTCCTAAACATCCCAGAGCACCCTTATTCAGGATGGTGGTAGATCTGGAGACTGGAGGGTCTGCTAACCCTCATATGTCTTTTCTTTACCCTCAGACTTTGTCCCCATTATTTTGGTTTTCAGGAACAAGATGACTAACACTAAGATTTCTGAAAAATACTGAGATTTTTGCTTGCTCCTTTCCAAATAGTTCTCTTCCTTTCTTGTGATGAGTCATCTCCCTCAAATTTGCATTTTCAAATTGATGGCCTTAGGTGGGAGACCATAGAAAATTCACATCTCAAATACACAGAACTTAGATTTCAGGCTTAAAAACCATTACTTTCCAAAATAAAGAAATAAATGTGCAGGTAAAAGTCCAGCTTACAGACAGGGAAAACACCTTAAACAAAGGCAAGGCATGTCCTGCAGATTTTAGCCCATCAGCTCCTTAGGAATATTTGTAGTAATTTTGTCCTGCTTTCCTGGTGCAGAGGGGCAAGCAGCCTTACAAATGGAAATTTCTTTTATAGATGTAAATTTGGTCTTTCAAAAGCTTCTTAAAATAAGTAGCTGCAAATATTTCTTAGGGCAGACAGGCATATATTGGAGTCTAATCTGGCTTCAAAGATCAGGAAGTCCCAGATCCTGCCTTCCAACAAAAGTACTAAATGCCTCAGAAAATTTCTGGGGTAGCAGAGGAAGCTTTCCCTTGCAAGGGAAAATGTTCACTGTTGTGGTGAACTCAATAATGACCAAGGCCTAAAGAAGGCTAACGAAGCAGAGTTAGTTGTTCTGAGGGCCTAATTTTAGAAGGCGTCTGTATTGCTTTCTTTTCATCATGAGGTGGGAAGGTAAGTGAGTTAAAAGGTTAGCAGGCTGAGAGTAGTAGAGAGAGAAGGAGAGAGCGTGCGGCTGGAATTAAGGTTGTGCTCATGACCTTGCTTTGATTCCCCGGGAATTCTGATAATGGCAAAGCACCCTTCAGTCAGTCTGGGGGCAATGTGGAGGTGGTGGCTACTTTTTGCTACAGGCCTGGAGTTCCTGAGAAAGAAACTCCTCAAGACAAGGCCCAGCATCAAGATGCTATCCACAGGGGATTAGGGATCCTGGAGGACTGGTTGCACCACACCCTCAACTCAGAGTTAATTTTAATGAAAGCAGGGCAAGGAATACTTGAAGGAAGGAGACTGAGACGATGGTAGAGTAGGATCTGGCAGTATTTAGCACCTGAATTCAAGGCACTGGGTAAGTATTTTAGGAAAGTGTCTCCTGTTTTTATTCCAACTCCTTGTCCCATGTGAGATAAGAATTCAAAGCAGAGGCATAAATAATGTGCAAAAATGAGAGCAGGATTTATCTAAAGTGGGATTGTGAGTGTACAGGTAGGAATGAGGGCAGCCAACCCCAGGAGGAGGTACTCCTGGTGAGAAGGCCAGAGGCAGCCTAGTCCCCCAGGCCATAAGGGCTTGGTTTCAGCATTGAGTACGATGGATGGGCTTCTTGGTTACTCATTGTTGGGGAAGAGGAAAGTCTCCTTTGGATATCAATTCTGATTCCAAAAACCACTGAAGGAAAAACTGTAGACAAAATAGATTGAGCTGAGTTTATACATGCATGAAAAGATTCATAAATTTAGCAGCATTCAAATCCAGAAGTGGCTCCGAGGCAACAAAGCAGTGAGTTTTTGTAGTGTGAAGGGAGAGGTAAAATGCATAAATAGTTTGCTTTCTCTCTCAAAGAGCAAGTGCCTTACTTGGCATCGTTCTATCAGTCTGTCATTGACTGAACGGTGGTGCTTATGATTGACTGAGCCTCTGCTCTCTGCTACAATAACATTCTCCCAAGTTAGGTTTGAGTTTCTGTGCTAAAAAGAGGGTGCAGCTTGTCATGTAGAAACTTGAAAATATGAAGATAGCCTCAGGCCAATGGCCCCTAGCTTATTTAATGATTCTGCCTCTTTACTGATTAATGTGTTTGGGAGTCTGTACTTTCAAAGCATTTTGCCAGTGTTTTTTGTTGCTAAAGGTTGGAACTGTCGCTCCCCGTCTTCGTGGAGGAATGACACAGGACCCTGCGCTGTTCTTTTGTCTGCTCGGCCCTCCCCGGGTTTGCTGCTGGTTCTTCCTGGGTTGGCTACTATCCCTTCCACCTCCGTGGAAGGGCGGTTCCCCCTAGCCACTTTCCCCACTTCCGCGGGGGAGCAGCACACCGCTGGCCGGCTCTCTCCAGGGCTGCACAGGTGTTCCTTCAGATAGATGTTCCTGGTGCATGTTGTCTCTCTCCTCCTTTATAGTCCTCTTCCACCAATCCCAACTCTGCTACCCACACGCCGAGTACGCTGCTCTCCTCCAATCAGGAGCAGCTCCTGCAGCTTGTCAAGTTGGTGAAAGGCAGCTGGGTAGAAGCTGTTTGCTCCTCTCCCAGCACCATATTGTGGGAGAGCAGATGCATAGAATAAGTCTTAATTCCAGTAACTTAGTCTAGTCTGAGTTGCTCCCCACAGGAACTAACTCTACTGTAAATAGATCTCAGATTAGCAGGACCATTAATGAGTTGCATAGGTATGGGATTCCCAGAGTTCAGTCTGTGGTAGGGATAAGAAACTCTTGAATTGTTCTGCATAGCAGAAGTGTGCACTTCAAAGAAATGAAACGGATGTAGAGGAGGAACAAGATGGGAGAGAGAATCTTCTAAAAATTGATATCTATTTTTTTATTAAACTGCTTCTCCACACTAGAATCCTCTATAATAACTCACATTTTCAGGAAACATCTGCAGTAACTACCTATTGGGCAGATTTTTTTCTGGAATGTCCCTATGTACTTCTTTTTTAATTGATTAATTTATTTTTTAAGGAATACAAATTTTATAAGTACAAGATTAGGAATATAGTTATTCTTCCCACCCACACTCCCACTCCTCCTCCTCCTCCCTCTCCCCTTCCCAGTCCCATTCTCCATAAAGATTCATTTTCAATGAACTTTGCACACAGAAGACCAACTCTATACTAAGTAAACATTTCAACAATTTGCACACATACACACACACAAAAAAACTGAGAATTAGTTTTACAGTTAACTTCCATAATAACAACTCATTGAGGACAGAGGTCCTGATGGGGAGTTTGTGCACAGTGACAATTAACACTCTTAATGTTTGTCCTAAACAGCAGACTCATTGACAGTTGCTTTAAGTAACACCCTGTGTATTTCTTGTCTTAGTCCTTGTGAAATTAGGCAGGGAGTTAGGTACTACTAGGTGGTAGCTTTGGGATCCCCAAGGAGGGAAGGCCTATAATACTTCCGGGAATAGAAAGTCCCTACCCGCACTTCCGGGGAAGAAAAGTCCTTGTCAAGGTCCCCACGGTGCCTAAAGGTCAACCAAGGAGGATCAGACCCGCCTCAACCTTTAACCCCTGAATCTATAAAAGGAGCCCTCTCAACTTTTGACACGTGACTTCCCCAGCCCCCTGCTCTGTTGGGACTGGTGAACCTCGCCCGGGAGTGGAATCCCAATAAAAGCCTGTGAATTAATTGATTCATCTGCCTGGGAAGATTTGTTACGCACCGGACAACAGGAATTTTTACCAGTCCTCCACTGTAACTTTATCCCTTCATTTCTCAATCTAATATGTCCACCTTCCCATGATGCACCTGTGTCTCACTGGGGACCAGCAAGGAAGAGATGCCTTCCTGGCCACATGGTAGTTAAACTCCGTGTTTAGGGACTATATAGATCCCAGAAATTCTCATAAGCCACTCCCCACCACCACATAAAATAGACTAATAACAGGCGAGATGCCTTATTTTGCTACTTGCCATGCTTGGGGATCCTTCTCAGGCCTCCTCTTTTCCCCCTTACGTCTCGTGGTCAACTCTCTGGCCCACTCATGATGTCATCTTTCCATGTGGAGGGGCCCACACTCATGCGTGAATGTATGTTCACTGTGTCTCTATTTTAAATAAATCCTGCTCTCTCTCACTTGGGCACTATGTGGATGCTTATGCTTTGGATTCTTATCTCTGTGGGGACAAGAACCTAGAATACAGATTAAAATACCTATGCCCATGACACTGGTAGAAGGGAAGGGTGAGACCAGCCTCCAAGGGTGAGCCAAGAGTCATGTCACATATGCTTTAAAAGCAGGTGATAAGAACCAAAGAACATTAGAAGCCCTCAGCAATACAGCGACTCTGTATGGAGAAGCCATCTTGCATTTTCCTTCTTTCAAACTCAAAACTTAAAGGTGGATACTGTCTTGGCCATGAAAACATATTTTTCTCTTATAAGAGGAAGCAAAATAAAGTATGTATATTTTCTAGTTTATTTTATAGAAAATTGCCCTGCTTCCCCTTGAAGTAGGCAGGCATACAGGCTAAAATTGATTAGATTTGTGAACTGGAAGACCAAGCCTTCGCCACGCCCCTGTGTGACCTCATGCCCCAACCTGATACCTTCACCACGTCCCTGTGTGACCTCATTCCCCTACCTGGCCAGACCTGGGTGCCAACCAGTCAATCAGGTTAATTATCCACTCCCCTTTGGAAGTAGATTAAAAGCCTGGGGCACAGTGTGTCCGGCCTTCTCTTCTTCCCTGGACTCTTGGCAGGAGGCGGGCTTGCTGTAGCCCTGTGCCTCCAGGGCTCATGGCCTTCAGGCCATGCGCCTTAGGCTTCCTGGCCTAGATACTCATCCACGTGGCTGGTTCCTGGTGCTCGGTATGAACCCCCATTCACCTCTCTCTCTTAAATAAAGCTCTCACTCTCCTATGCACCTTTCTCACTAAATAAAAGCTTAAAATGTACTATGCTGCCTCGTTTATCTGTGCCAGTATTTAGAATTCTCCTCTAAATATTAGTCAAGAACCCTCTTGGGCTTATTAATATCGGGGATTTATTAATAAGCTCATGGTGAAATCATATGGCACCCCAAATTCCGGTAGCATATGTGGCAACCCAGATAGCACTCTGGGGAACTTGAAAGGGCCACATTTTTGTGTAGATTTTAGGGGGTCATGTCTGATTTCACCCACACTTATAACAGGTAACCAAAAAAAATTCATACTTAGAAAGGACAGATTTTCTTTTAAAATATCATTGCTAGGCAAATGGTGGAGGCCCTATACAGGAGAGGTTATTGCAACAGGAAAAACACTGTGACTACAGACCTGCAAAAGTCTCAAGAATTAGCCAGAGAGAGGCTTTGTTTTATGGAGAAGAAAGGTTTTAAAAGTGTCTTGACGGGATGGTAGGTCAAAGAGTGTTTTACCTTGTGGCCAGCTTATTTTCTGGTAGGGGCCCTTAACGGGGGCATAGTGGAAGTTATCTGCTGTTTCCAATTGAGATTGACCTGAGTTCAAGGGCTTGGGGGAAGGAGGGAAGCCAACCAAATTTTGTCTACAAGCATTTTGCTCCCTTTGATCCATATTCTTTCCTTGACCAACCTGCACTAGGCTCCTTCTGAATCCACTGTTCAGTGAGGCTCAGATTTTGGTCTTCTTGTCTACCGCTGCGCTATCTGCTTTTAGGAAGAAGATTCCTGTTACACCAGTTTCAGCAGAACTCCCCATCAACAATATCGGATCATCCTCATCGTCTGATCAGTTTCATCATCCTCCACCATCTTCCAAATGATGTCTCATCTGGCCTGCCTTCAGCTAGAATCCCCATTGACCCTGATGTTCCTTTTAGTAATTCTCCAACTACTGCCCTTGCCTTGCTCTTTGTCTAGAAAGGGTCACACGCATAGGCTTGGGTTCCACCTCTCTCTCCCACTGCAACACCTCATAGGACTCCACACCTATAGTGATGGCCTCCTCCTGATTACAGTCTTCCTTACCTCGTTTAACATCATGGATTATATTCTGAAGCAGTAAAAAGCAATTCAATTAGTCATTTATGAGCCAAAGAGTGGGCATTTGCATGGTTTCTGTGTTATGATCTTTTCATAAAGAAAGAATGGGGAATGCATGGATGTTGTCCATGTCCTATAGGAAAAGGGAGGGTTTTATTGCAAGTTATTCCATGGACTACAAGGTGGGATAGAAGAAAATGGGATTCCTTCAACTTCCTTGTTTTCTAGGAGCAGAAGCAGAGGGGTCACATAAATTCAACTTGTCATGGAATAGCTCCTTCTCTAACAACAAGCCTTGAGATAAGAAAGCAACAGTCATTGTACAAATAAGTTAATTTTGTTGGGATTTATGTAAACTATGGAAGGTCTCTATAAAGCCTAAAATACAAAAGTTAATTATAGTCCTAATATAAACTAAATAACAATTAGTGATTGTCATTGACTGGAAACAGTATTAACCATATTGAATATATTATTATCTAACTTTTTTCTCACAATTTTACAAAGACAGTATTAATATATCCATTTTACAGAATAAAATACAGAAGCAAAAAGAAGCCATAAGGCAGATGCCTAAAGCCACAGTTTAAACATCAGACTAAATTCTTATTGTTGAAAAGGTGCCTTTTTTGGCTCTGAAATATAAGAAAAAACAAAGTGTTTTTTCCATCTGACTCACCATTTAAAATAACACTTCCGACATCTGATGTGGAAAAGTACTTCCCCAGTTCCCAATAATTTTCTAGAAAATGCCTGCTGGGAGTCCTATTGCTATAGCTATAGAGACAGATACGTATCCAAGAAAGAGGTGGAGGAAATAGCATTCCTGCTAGGGTTGCCGCTCAAACTCATCCCATGAATGGCAACTTGAAATTGCTATTATAGCAAAGCTGCTGCCCAGAAATAGCACCAGCCAAAAATATCAACATGGCTATTTACTGTGTCGCACTGACAACTTATAGCCTATTATAATTCCATTATAATAAAATTACCATGGCTGACACTCCCACTCCCATTGTGCCATGAATGCCATGAAAATTCCAAGACTTCTTATAAAGGCCAGAAAATGTCCAGTCACCAAATTCCTGGAAATGTCTGTCCATTCCTGAAAGGGTTTACTCCCTCCTAAGTGTGTACTTTCACTTTGCTAGTAAATCTAATTCCTCTGCTAAGCTTTATCTATGTCTTGTCCTTGAGTTCTTTCATATGTCAGAGATAAGAACATGAACCTCTTAAATTCTGAACATTATAACACCTCTTTTTTAAATTTATATAAGTTGAACAAATTTCATGTAGTTCATAGTGATATGAAATACATAGTGATACTTCCACTCTATAACTCCTCTTAATTCCAACACTCTAAGACAGAGTCAGATCCCAAAGATTGAAGGTTCAGTTCCACAAGACCTCTCCCTCCCCATTTCAGATGCCAATCATAAGCAATAGATCATCAGCTATACTCTGACCAACCAGCTACATCAGGGGCCTTTCTGCCTTCCCCTTGAGTTCAATTCATTTTCTGTCAGTCACAGAGATCTGGGAAACACTTTGCTTACATGTAGCAGTTGAATGATAGGGAAGGTAAGAAAGAATAAAAAAGCCAGATAAGCTACACAATGTGAGGTCTAGAAAAGTCCTAAGCACAGAAATTTCTGTCCTTGTGAAGTTGAGATGACCATTGTCCCAGCACAAGGATATGTTTGACAATTGGGAAGCTCTCTGAACCCTTAAATTTGGAGAACTTTATGGAGGTTTTATTTATTTCCAGTGTCTCTTCCCTGTCTGGAGAATAGGAGAGGGAGAACTGAATGACCTACTCTTATAATCATGGTTATCTCATTCTGGTGACCAGACCTTAGTCAAGAGCCCACTATGAGTTGTTTCATTAGGAAAAAAAAAAGGTGTCCAGTAAATTCCAAAGGATTTAGGAACTCTGGGTCAAGAACTGGGGTCAAAGGCCAAGTATTACAGCAAAGTGATTTTCCTAGTGCCCCCATCTAGTAGGGTATTAGGAATTGTGACTCAGGAGATTGGGCCAGAATAAAATATTGGGATCAAAGATTCTTCTAGCACCCCTTTCACTCAGAAAACTAAAAAGGTGTTAGGTGATCTGTGCTCAGGGCTGGAACCAGAGACCAAGATATATGTATTTCCTATTACTATCTCACACTGGCAGTCAAGCTATGTCAAACATTACATTGACCTGTTAGTGAAACTGAACCCCTATACATGGCCTTGAATGCAAATGTTGGATACCACCAGGCCCCTGCCTCTCAGCCTCTCTCCCTTAGTGTAAGGTGTCTTTGTCCTGTGTTGTATGTGCATGTGTGTGTTGTTGTTGCTGTTGTTTTAACCTTTTTTTTTTTTAATTGCAAGTTGACCTCTTACTAAATTTAACTTACTGAATTGAAGGAGTACTGCAGCCATCTCTGGACTCATGTGGTCATTTTTTTTCTCCAATAATTACCAACTTGATGGCTGGTATGGTCTCAAATGGTATCTTCTCAGGGAAATTCCAGGCCTGTGGCAGGAAGTAATTACCATCTGCATGTTATCCTCGGAATGGCTAAAGCCCAAACACTGCAGACCAACCAGAAACTTAGGTATGAGCTGAACATCCATTCTCAAGACCCAACTTAAATCTATAAGAGGCTTTGTCCCTATCCCCTCCAGGAGCCTGCAACTTGAGCTACAGCAGCCTGGCTCCTAGTTCTGAACATTGCAATAAGTACCTCCTTTCTCCCAGCATCTCAATGCCAGTGATTTGGCTTTCTGCATGTGGGGCAGACATCTCCAGTCTGGGGGTTCTGCAGCAACTCCTCCAACCACTTATAGAGACAGTTCCTTACTATTACCAATTCCTTGACCAAGTTGAGGCATGTGGCACACTCACATGCTTTGTGATCAATTTAGCAGGAAGAACTGAGACTCTGACTATATTTCATATAGAGAAGGTTAAAAATGTTTTCCTCTACTTCAGTGGTTATGGCTTACAAATCACATGTAATATGAGACAGATAAGAAAAATGAGTTTTAGGTATATATGCACACACAAGAGTTCACAAAGAATGTCCTTCAAGGCGGTGGCCATGTGACTGAGGTTTCTAGATAGTCTTGGACTAAGAAAAGGAAAAGGTGTGGGTCCTCTGAGTGGGAAAATCAAGTTTGGGAAAAGGAAGGCAGGAAATGAGCAGTAGAGTTGTCTCGTTAGTCAAGCAAGAAGCTTTGTGGGGCAAGTTACCTCTGGCAGTAGCTCTCTTCTTAGTGTGGCAATCTCTTTACAAATGAAATTTATGGGGTCCAGAAAGCTAAGTTATTATCTGGGTTGAGTAGTCATTGTATTTCTGGAGAAGGGGTGGGGGGCAACTTCCAGAACTAAGGATCCACCTCTTTTTCTCCCCTTGTGTGGTCATTTCTGTAGGTTGTCATGGCAATTGTAACCTGTGATGGCAGGAGGGGGAGAGGTTTTTACTCTGTTAATGCATCACAATGAGGGTATAATGGGACTGGAGGAAAGGTAGTGCATAATCTGGACACCATTTTGGATTTAACTGATTTGAACCAGTTCTGTTACCTTAATCTTGATTTTGTTCAGCTTACATCCTGGTGGATGGAGCTGAGACTTTCCATATACTATATATCAAAAAACACAGGGGCCGGCGCTGTGGCTCACTTTGTTAATCCTCCGCCTGCGGCGCCAGCATCCCATGTGGGTGCCTGGTATTTATCTCCAAATGGTATCTCCAGATGGTATTTCTCTCCAAATTAAAAACACTGTATACTAAAAATATTAATCTGTCAAGTAAGAGAGTTTTACAATTTCAAATAGATCAAAATTGTATACATACAACAATTGGAAATTAAACAAAAGTTGCAATGTTGTTTTTAAATGGGTGAAATATTTGAATCCTAATGAATGTCAATGCACACAGCACAAGAATGAGATCTAAGGGCCGGCGCCATGGCTCACTTGACTAATCCTCCGCCTGCGGTGCCGGCACCCCGGGTTCTAGTCCCGGTTGGGGCACTGGATCCTGTCCCGGCTGCTCCTCTTCCAGTCCAGCTCTCTGCTGTGGCCCGGGAGTGCAGTGGAGGATGGCCCAAGTGCTTGGGCCCTGCACCTGCATGGGAGACCAGAAGGAAGCACCTGGCTCCTGGCTTCAGATCGGCGCAGCGCTGGCCATAGCAGCCATTTGGGTAGTGAACCTACGGAAGGAAGACCTTTTTCTCTGTCTCTCTCTTTCACTGTCTATGACTCTACCTGTCAAATAGTATATATGTGTGTATATATATATATATATATATATATCTCAAAATGGTTGCTTATCTTGGAAAATTATCACACTCATTAACTGCTAATAAAATATCAGGAATCATAATAAGATCTTATTATATTTTCATTTATAAATGTCTATGTCTGCGCTACATTACATAAACTGGATTAGCAAATTGCCATGTAAAATTTAGGTATGGGTAGAAGCCGTGCAATTTGCATACCAAATTAAGGTATAATGAGAAAGGAACAGATGATGACTGTTTTTCTGTTTTGATTTTAAATGTTTGCAAATGTGTGAGTCTATGTTGCTACTTATTTGTATGTATTTTCAACATATTTAAACTAAGAACTACATTATCATGTGAAGATATCTAGTGAAGGGAACAACAGACTGACTTCTAAAAATGCCATCCTGTTTATACAGTGTAAATATTCAACATGGGTTATTTTGGTCAAAACAGTTGTATTTTAGAAAACACAGCATTGCAATCCTCTTTACCCTGATCTTCGACTTTATTCTTTTTATTCACTTCTATCGTTCTAACTTAGTGTAACCATTCATCCAGTTAAATAAATTGTCAAATCTCTGCTATTGGGCAGCCCCTGTGTTGTTTCCTAGAAAAATGTTACAAAAAAGAAAGAACATTGCACTCTTATTTATTGGACATTCAATATATTCTAATGAGTGTAAAT